CATGCAAGTAAAATAGAATGCCTTCCCACCCTTCTTTTTTGGTTGTCATATCTACCAAAGTGTTTGAATTCAAATTTTCTTCTACAAAATCCAGGCTTGGGGAGGAAATTTTTCCTAGCAGGAAAAATTTCTGTCTGGGGCATAGAAGTGTGGCAAAGTTCTACCTAACTAGGGAGAGGGTCTCCCAACAGGAGATGTCAAATAGGTTTAACCACAGGCAGTGCTGCCCATTCCACTTGTAACAGAAAAAGCAAGAAATCAAGCTGGGTTTGTTATTCAAACAAGCTCCTAAATTGTCCCATCAGTGCTTGCTTATGAGCCTATCCCTTGTGTTTCCCTCTTGTGCTCACCTCTGCAACCTGCTTGTCTACTTTCCAGTTCTGTTTGTGCGCAGGGGAGGAAAAGTGTCTATAGCATGTTGTGCTGTGACCAGGCAACAAACTTGGGAACAATCCCTCCAACTCTGGGAGTTCCCTCCCATCTCTAGAGGGTCTGGGGATATGTTGGGAAACTGGGGAAGGCCAAAGGGTAAAAGAGAGCATGGCTGAGGCTTGCCTGCATTACAACTGTTCTGCAGGGCTACCACTCAGAGGGGCCATTGCAATCACTTCACATGGCCCTCAGAGGGAACAGATTCTCCAGTTTGGAGTATAAAATGATTTCTTGTAGCGTGGAAGGCATTTTTTAATCCTGTGCCTAAGGGCTTTTGAAATCACCTGTTTGGACCAGGAAGGAATTTTTCCCCTTCATGAAGGCTACTGGCTTCTTGGTGGGGCAGAAGAAGAGAACAGGGGTTGGAAATCACCTTCCTCTAAGGTATTAGGATGTTGGCTAAAGCTAATGCCATTCCTTTTTATTTTTCAATGAAGTGCTCTGATGCACCTGCCAGTATTAGAAAATCCAGAGGTTCCTGGACAGAGGGTTTTGCCCTTCTACTCAATCATATCCATTGCTGAATTTGAAATTGTGAAAGAATTTTTCTCAAAGGCCACATTAACATGGGTTGTAGAGTTTTGCATCTTCCTCTGTAGCATGGAACATATTCCTTTTCCTAGGATCTTCTGAACATATGTGAATAACTACTTCTTTGTCATTGCAGTGGCAGGGCATTAGCAGTATCCTCATCAGCCCTGCTGTTACCTACAACATTTTGTAGGGGTGCCTTTGGTGTTCCATGTAATCATAAAAGAGGGTTTGAAGTGATAATTTGGGGATTTCTTGAGTTAACAGTGACCTTCAGACAACTGGATTCAGTGGTCTAGGAGGTCCATTCTGGTGCTAGATTCCTATGTTCTCATCTGCACCCTGAGCACGGCAGCCTCAGGCCTTGTCTGCATCATGGCTGTTCCCAAACACACCTCATCTGTTCACTCCCACACACATGCCTCCAAACCCAGAAGTACATCAGTGCAGCTTCTTCAATGTATCCCACTGCAAATGCAGAGGGATGTCTCTGAACAGCCTGACTGGCATGTTTCTGCACTTGAAGCATGTTGGCAGGAACAGGTAGACAGGGAACGATTGTGGCCAGAGCAGGCTGCCACTATGGCATAGGCATGCCCAGGGATGGTGGAAGCTTCCACCTTGATCCTTGCCCCTTGCTCTGCCCTGGCAGATTGATTCTGACCTATGGAGCATGCTCAAGAAGCAGGATTCACTCCATCATGCTAAATCTGCTGAACTGCTCCAAGCTGCTGCTGCCATTTCACTCTAAGCAAGTGCGCTTCTTAGAACAGCCCCAGCATAGGAAAGAGCTTGTAGAGCCCAGCTATCCTCAATGCTCTGATGATGCTGTGTACCCCAGAGTTCATTCCCTTACCAGAGCAGGGTAAAGCCCTAGACACGGCCGCACATACCACACATCAGGGCTGAGTGGACAGTAAAAAAAATCAGATATAGGCTGGATAACCTGTTTGTAAGATCTGTCTGATGGCAGATCTATCACTGTGCAGTAGCAAATGGAGAATTCTCTCCTATCTGTGCCAGTTAACACAAGGCCAGTGACTCTGAGATGCTGGTTCTTCACAGAGCTGCCATGGACCGGGCAGAAGTGTGTACCAGAGGGATAGGATTAGATATACTCCAGTCCAGGTCAGTGTAACTTGGCTCCAGTTTCTTTGTTTCCAGGAAATTAACCCATCCTATGTTCTACAGGCTGTTCCCTGTGCAGCACAATGTATTTGCTGTACAGATCTTTCAGCCTACTGTGCTGATTTTTCCTTCATTTATAGACATGGGGGAAGGAACGAATCTCTTCAAATGTGAAACCCCAGTGGTACCAAAGGGTATGTCATATTTCATAGATTTCATAGATATTAGGGCTGGAAAGGACCTCGGAAGATCGTTGAGTCCAGCCCTCTGCCCCAGGGGCAGGACGTCAGCTAGTGTTAAAAGATCCCAGCAAGACAGGCATTAAAAGAGTCCAGAGTAGGTGCTTGCACTATTTCAGGAGGAAGTCTATTCCAGGTCTTGGGGGCTCATTTTGTATGATCTTCTAGTGTAATAGGGTTAGTGAAGACTATTTCATTTAGACTTCTGGGCTTTCTAACCTGTATCTGTCACTGACACTTTGCACGATTTTAGGCATGGTTGTTCTGGGTAGTTAAGTATCAGGCTGATGGAGAGGGGCTGTGGAAAGATCTCACAAAGCTAAGTGACAGGGTAAAAAAATGATGCATGAACTTCAGTGTCAACATATACAAGATTATTTTTCCCAATGTACTTTATCTCAATTATACATACTTAGTGCTGGGTACTGGACTAGCTGTTATGACTCAGGAAAGAGACCTTGGAAACATTGTAAAGTTCTCTAATGACATCAGCTCCATGTGCAGCGATGACCAAAATAGGTAATAAAATGTTGGGCATCAGTAAAAAGGGAATTGAAAAACAAAGGGAAAAATGTCACTGTGTCATTATACAAATCCATGGTGCACCCACATTTTGAATGCCGTGTTCAGTTCTGGTCTCTGTATCTCAAAAGGATGTAGAAGAAAAGGTGCAGAGGAGAGCAGCCAAGATGATCAGGGGTATGGAGCAATTGCCATAACAGTAGAAACTAAAAAGGCTAGGATTTCCCAGTTTGGAAAGGAGGAAACTGAGGAGGAAGGTGATGGAGGTCTAGGGCTAGGGACAGACATTACACATAAATTGGTTTAAGTGATCAGAAACTGGTTTAAACCTGTAACAGAACAGATGTTCGGTGCACATAAACCACATTGAAAATACTGTTATCAGTTCCCTAATCAGTGTCCTGCCAGGGCCTGGCCATGCCCCCTCCCCCTCAGCTCAGTAGTGTGCAAGGGAAGGGAGGGCTTCTCTAGCACTCCCCAGCTTCTAGCCTGAGCCACTGCAGACATGTGCTGGCATTTCTGGGATGTCTGTCCGGTTACAAAATTGATTTAGCCTAGCCAGGTAGACTAACCTGTAAAGATTGAAGCAATTCAGGCTCAGGCTTTTTGATAGGCCTGTGAGAAGCGGCTAGCATTTGCTTCGGATTTGGACTCGGCCGATTCAAGGAACAGTGATTCGATTCAGTGATTTGAATCACTGTCCTGATTCAATTCGGCCGAATCTGATTCAGAGATTCAGCAACAGCCCCCACCCTCTCATGGGTGCCCTGCATGGGCCACCTCCGGCCCTTTAAGAAAAAAAAAACCTGAAGAAACCCTGGGACTCACTGCTTCTGCCAGAAGGGGTGATCCCTGCTGCCCCCTGCCACATGGGGGGCTCTCCACGAGCTCCCAAAGCCCATAGGCTGCACTAGGAACAGAGAGTCTCAGTGCTTTTCTTGGCCTTTTTTTTTTAAAGGGCCGGAGCCCTGACAGGTAGGGCACCCATGGGGGGGCTGGAGGAGCATGGGGGGGTCAAGGGGGCTCATGCAGAGCCCCTCATGCAGCGTGGGGCAGCGGGGAGCAATGGGAATCGTCCCCCTGCCCGGCAGCACCTGGTGAGCACTGGGGCTTTTTTTAAAGTACCGAGCTGGGTCAAGTGGAGGCAGCCATGGGAGGGGTGGGGGAGCAGCCGGGGGCTGGGGGAGTGCAGGGTGTTGGGGGGCTGGCAGGGGTCCCCCCATGGTCCCCTCCCCGCTCCCCCCTCCTCCACCTCTCGTACTTACCAGTTCGGTGTGGTTGCAGCTCCCTGCTGCAGCCACTGGGGACTGTCCAAATCATCAAAGTTCTCCTAATCTTTGCCAAAGATTTGGAGAACTTTGAATTGATTTGGACTGGACCTTTTAATCGGTCCCCTGATTCATTTGGATTTTGAGATTCGGTCACCAAATTGGGCTGAATCTCCTCCAAATCGAATCACCACCCAAAGCTTTGCACAGCCCTACTTTTTGAATGTCTGTCCCTAGCCTAGGAGATCATGAAGGATGAAGACAAAGTAAAAAGGGGATTGTTATTTACTAAGTCTCAAAATACTAGAACTAGGAGCCACCCACTAAAATTAGCAGGAGACAGTTTTAAATCTAACAAGAGAAAGTACTTTTTTACACAGTGCATAGTTAACTTGTGGAACACATTACAACAGGAGGTTATAGAGGCAAACAGTATAGCCAGGCTGAGAAAGGGACTAGACAAATTCATGGAGGATAGATCCATTAATAGATATTAAACAGAACATTTAGGCGTGTATTGCCTGGTATCCCTAAACCAATAATGGTGGACACCAGGGCTGGTACGACAGGGGACAGAACACTCTACATATACCTTGTTCGTATGCTCTTCTTCTACAGCATCTACTCCTGCCGGTGTTAGAGACCAGGATGTTCGGCTAGATGGCCTGTTGGTTTCACTCATTAGATTACTTCTTATATTTTTATCAAGTTTCTGAGGGGAAGAGGAAATGCAGAGGATGGTGATATCTCTGAAGACCTCCCAGATCATCCTAATGAGAAGGCACAGGGATGACATTCTCAATACTGAGATTTCCTTGTTTGTGTTTGAAGGAAAAGGTGCTGTGACAGGCCAGTGATCTGTTGTTTTCCTTCCCTTCAGGCCATCGCCAGAGGAGGCTTTACAGTGGCGTGACTCCCTGGAGAAGCTGCTGCAGAATGCTTGTAAGCTCACACTGTCCCAACCATGCAGATTGTTTCCCAGTTATCTAAATTGATGACACCCACGATGAAACCTTGAACAACCACAGGCTGCAGAACACACTACCTACCTCGGGGCAGGCAGGGAGAGGGAAGAAAGGGAAAAGGTGGCAAGGCACAGCAGAGGGAGGGGGCTGTCTACATGCTCTTTGTTCACTCCCAGCCCCAACCCAGCATTCTCTTCCAGTCAGAAAACAGAAGCAATTTGCTGGCTGTGATCTGAAATCAGGCAAACTCCCCCTGAATAGGATGGTTGCTGCAATTGTGTCCTTTGCAAAAGGAAGGAGTGTCCTTGGCTGTAAGAGGTGTGCATCAAGTTTCTCCTCAAGTCTTTACCAGTATTGAGCTCCTTGGCACCACAGTGCTAAGGAAGGTTGGGAGAAGGAAATAGCAAATGTAACAAATGTGTAAATAGACATGAATATTCATGGGATAGAGGACGTTCATTTATGACTCATGGTGCACTGGCCCCTCTAGCGCAGCAGGTGCAAAGCAGCCCATGAATTGCAAATGGTTCCTGCTGAGACAGCAGCAGGAGGTGTGGGCTCCAAAGCCCTGCTTTCACACTGTTTTCCCTCCCCATCCCATTTCTTCAGGATGATTAATGCGGGGTTTCATGAGTCAGAATCCCAGTGAATTCCACACGTGGCCTATGTAAGTCAGGAGGCATCTGAGTCTTCAAGTGTGCTGATTTGGCTGTGGACAGCTCTCCCCAGCTGCAGATCCCCAATTCTTGCAGCTTAGCCCTAGTCCCTTCTGGGTCTGCATATGGAGCCTGCTGCCCTTCCTTTCCTCAGCCCTACTTCTCAGAGATGAATACCCAATCACCTGCCCCTTCTCCTACTGACCCAACATCCTTTGCAGCCTGTATCACTATCCACAGACTGGAGTGTCTAAGGAAAAAAAAAATCAACTGCTCCATTTGACTTTGAACTACTTACTACCTATCTTAATGCACCTCAATACTTGTTGGCTTTGAGGAGAACATGTTGTCCAGAGGGCTGCTGAAGACTCTACCTGAATAAAGAAATTGCACTTAGAGACAGGTAACACAAAAGCACAGCTCATAGCATCCTTCCTGCATGTGAGAGCAGTTCATGCCCTCCTTTGCACAGTAACTCCCTCAGACCTCCAGTCTATATACCTCCTTCAGCTTGTTGCCTTGTATTTCAAGCACCAGCCCATTTTCCAGCTCTTAAAACAAGGAAAGTCTCTCAAGCTCTCATTTTTGCCAACATGTTGCCAAAGGGGGGGGGGGGGGGGGGGGGGGGCAGGATTTCAGCCAACCCAAAATTTCAGTGCCAAAGCTGATCTCTGGGAAAGCAAACTTCTTTGTAGTAGATGGTAAAAGTTTCTAGAACTCCAAGCACCTTACTTTCCCAATGCACACTTGGGCACGTACCATCTCCTCGCTCCCAGACCTCCTTTTCTCTGTACACAGTCTCTGTCAGCATCTCACCTCCTTTTTACCTGGAAGGAGCAAGTCTGAGGTGGGTCTCACAACAGCTTCTGTGGTAAAGACTAATTTAACAAATTGGTGCTTTTAACCTTCTTACCAGGCCCTGTAATTACCTGAACGAAATGACTCTTTCATATGGAGATTACTTCCACCCAGATCTCTAACCAGACAGGAACTGTCAGTGCTTCGGGGAAGTCTTATGGCCTGTATTTTGCAGGAAGTCAGACTAGATGATCTCTGTGGTCCTTTTTGTCTTTTAGTCTATCAATCTATAATCATTGCTTATTGTTTTATTTGTAATATCTTTCAGCTTCCATATTCCTAGCCCCTTGTTCAGCAATGCCTCTTTGATAATACTCTTCAGCTGTTATACCCATTACGCCAGAGAAACAATGTCACCCCCTTGATATTACTACTAAATGTATAGTTCACATTTATATCTACAAATGCAGAAGAAATCCTACACGTTCAAGAGAAGGGTTGGGGTTGGTGGGGAAGGACTCCAGCCCCAACCCTACTCTCCTTGACTGAAATGGGGCCAGGCATTTCAATACAGTGTGTGTAAAGCCAAGTTCAGGTCCAGACCATTATCTGGATGGAAGGAGAGGAAAAGTTTGAAGCATGGGTCACTGATTCTTTACAACGTTTGGCTCCTCTTTCCCCAGCCCTGCGAGCTGGTATCCATTAATCTGGCCCAAACTCTGTTTTTTATCATACACATGTGCCCTTGACTATAAATGTTATGTTGCCTCTTTCTTCCGCTGGCTACTTTCCAGATTTCAAACTGTTTTAGCTGCTTGCAGGCAAGCCCTGGCTGTTGCTCACAAATTAGCACTTGTTTTCCTCCAGTCAGGGTAGAGAGGCCCATCTGGGGCAGGGGGGGCATTCCTCTAGCAGAATCACTGTTAGCCTTTCTCAGGGGTTTCTGTCGGCCTTTTCTAGCTTCTGACTTGTGTTAAAGACACAGACAGCTGTGAAGTGCTGGGGCCTGTCTGAGTCACTCCACAGCCAGGAACTAAACTTACGCCTTTTCCTTTTTCTTGTCTTGAAAACAAATTTGCAACTTATGGATGATAGTGGTTTTTACAGATGCTCTCTTGAGGAGTTCAAGGCCTCTTTCTGTGGCTGAGCGGGATGAGGTTTGCTGGTAAAACCTCCATCAGGTTGCATCTGCATCTCTAACCGGGATCCTGGGACTTGCAGCTAGAAGTCATACGGGTGAGGTAAAAGAGGAACTGTCTCTGGGGCAATGTGGTAGGAGCTGCCATCAGAGTCATGTACTCACTCTCATGTAGGCTCACTCGCAGTCAGATGCTTTCTACACACTGATACACACAAACACATGCAGGCATGCACAGCCTCTGTGCCCCATCGATTGCTGCATCTCTTGGTGGGAACAAGTAGTGATGTCTCCAACAGACCCATTGACACTAGGGACTGTGTTGGCCAGTGCTTCCAGTGACTGCTTTAAGATCAGCTATTCCAGTGCACCCACACATGTTACCCTGAATTCTTTGTGTGCCAGGCCAGAAGATAGATCACTTGTCAGAAGGGAGCTAACCAATATCCTCAAGTCTCCAGGCCAGATTGGTCAAGGCTACCAGATTGTAGCTCATGCTGACTGCAATGGTATTGTAGCTTGGGAGGAGACTGGTAGATACTGATAGCCAGCCTTCCCTCGCCTCCTCTCTCCTTTGTGCTCCTGGCCCCTGGCTCCTGCATCCTGCCAGCTCCATGAAAGTTGCCTGGGTCCCTCATTACCCTGAATAAACACAGACATCCTGGCCTTTCTCTCAAGAGCAAAGACCTCTTGGAGATAATGTAGCAGTCAGTGAATTAATATAGCTGTGATGGGAACTGACATTCTTCCAAGAAGGTGCGAGTCCTTGCTCTCTGCTGTGAGATGCTCACAACTGGTGTCTGAGATTAGAAGTTGCTTTGTTCAAAGCCCTGTAAAAAAGGGTGCCAGATATGTGGATAAGGAATGGCGTGCCCCTACTCCACAGCCTCTTAACCCCAAGGCTGTGAGCTCATCTAACACCGTGTACCAGACTGTGTAGGTGACTGGTACATGGAGTTAAGGAAGCTGTAGAAAGTCTCTGCTCTGCCTTACAGAAGCCTTTCACTCCGCTACACTGCTCTGTGCTGTATGCAGAAGAGCAGAGCTCCCAAAAGGTGCTCAGAAGGTGCTCTCATTCCCCCACAGTGAAGGAAGCCTCTCCCATGGTCTGTTGGAAGTGGCCAGCACTCTTACTTGGAGCTCAGAGGCATCCGGCAGCACACAGCTGGCATGGCGTTGCCTGGCTCCTAGTTCCTGTGTGTCCAGGCCATTCTCTGTGGGCCTCCTGCTCATAGCTGTGAAGTGGGGGAGGGTGTGAGAGTGAAGTAAGTTGAGAGCCAGAAGCTATGCAGGCTATTGAGGGCCAGGAGCAGGAAGGGGAGAGGAGACTGAAACACCTCACTTAGCACTCTCTCGTTCAGACACGAGGGACTCTGGGGACCGTCTTGAGTCTCCACTTGTGATGAGCAATATGGCCTTTCTGCTTTTAATACCTGTGAATGCTATAATGTCACACACAAGCTAGCCATGCTTTCTTTACCATGGGCATGTCTACACATGCAATTAATGCTCCTGAATTTCCTAGACAGAAAATTCAGGGTTATTACTGTGCTCCCTGGCACCTGTCTACACACATGCCCCCATTGGGAGCAAATTGAACCTGACAGGAATAGCCCAGTCCAGGGCAGCTGATGCCCTGCTCTTCCTGACTGCAGCAGCCAGAAGGAGCTCCAGGGTCCCCCAGGTGCCAGCCCTGGGCTGGCAGGGGATGGGGCTTAGCCCTGAGCTCCAGAGGGCAGAGGAGCTGTCCTGGCTTGGTAGGCAGCTCCGTCCCAGTCAGAAGGAGATCAGGCTGGTTTCAAGCCTGGAGGGAAAGTGGCGGGAGGGAGCTGTCCTGGCTGGGAGAGCTGTCCCAGCTGCTGGGCAGATGCCTGCCAGCCATGTGGAGATTGGGACCCATCCTGATCTGCACATGATGGGGAGGCAGCTGCCTGGCAGTCAAGACAATTCTCCCAGCCACATGGAGATCAGGGCAGGTCTCGACCTCCACATGGCTGGCAGGCAACATCCTGTGAGCCAGAACAACTCTCCCCACCCCCTGTGGCCTCCTGCTGCCTAGGCTGACCAGAAGCAAATTGCTCCCAGTCAGTGATTACATGTGCAGTACAAGACATTAGTTAATTCTCCATTTTTCAAGTACCGGTATCTATCTAGAAAACAGCATGTTAAATTAATCTACTGCACAGTAATTGCTGCATATGTGTAGACAGTTATGCTTTACTGCACATTAGATTAGTCTAATGTGCAGTAAAGCATCTCAGACAAGGTTCTTTGGGTAAATCTGATATCTTTTAAACCAACTCAAATAGTTAGAAAAAATTCTTCATTGCAAGTTTCTGGGCACAAACACCCTTCATCAGGCTGAGGAAGCATCTGCAGTTGGTCTGTGCTTTTCCTCGATGGATGCATCTCATCTCATGTCAATGTACCCAGTGATGTGGAACTTTCTCTTTTTCAAGGATTTTACATTTTAAATATTCACACAGGATGTTCTGCACAGAAGTAATTACAGTTAAGGCAGCAATGGGGCCAGTTGTTGGGCAGGAGAAAAAACCATGGAGGAAATGCCTCAGCCCTTGACCAGATGAGTATGCTTCCCAACACAGTGCACTGACTGTGACCCCTGCTTCCTGCAGCGTCCCAAAATACATTTCTAGCATCCAGATATCTGTCAATCCAGTTGCCTGTAGACACAGCACTGGGCATTGCAGTTAAAAATAAAAGGCATGGATGTTAATGTTTCCAGCAGGAGTTTGTTTACTTAATTCCTTGCTGCAGCAACCCCAGGCCTTCTTCTAATGCCCAGCATGCAGCTAGAGAGTGTCAGATTGACCCAGATAGCAGAACAATTGGCAAGGAAAAAGTAAAATAATCCCATATGTGGCTAGACTAAACAGTGACCCCCACAAGGGCACTATCCAAAAGTGGCAGGATTTCAAGTGCCAGGACCAAAGTACTGAAAAAAAAATGTGGGGATGCTACAAGGGAAAAGGGTCAGAGCAATAGCACTGCCAGCTATGGGACTTGAGAAAGACTCCTTAGGACCTTCCACCCTGCCCCTCTGAAAACACACAGTCCTTGTGTGGTTATTTCATGCACCCACTGCACTCACTACAACTAACAGCAAACTGTGAAGCAGCCCGTCAGGAAAGAAGCCCCATTGTGCTGGGCACTGTACAGCATAAATGAGGGAGAATCCCTGCCCTTTCAGGCAGAAATGCAGCCAGGCTGAGGGCCACTTCTATCATAGAAAAACTTTTCTACTTCAGGCTTTTTTGCTTCTTGCTTTCTTTCCTTGTTTCACTTCCATTGCTCCATGTATTCCTCTTCTGCCATGTTTCTTATCATGTTCTAGGTGTTTCAGTCTCCCCTCGAACTCATATCCAAATGCTGTGTACAACTGAGCTCTCCCGCTCTTCATCCCTCTTTTCCCCAATGTGGTTTTTCCTCCTTCCCCAAGTTTCCACTGTCTGTCCTATGTTCTCAGCCTCTCTCAACCTCTCTCTCTGCCCCCTTCCCACCCTCTGCTTCTCCTTATTCCCAATCTCCCAGTGCTGTCCCCATCACCATCATAATGTCCTACCTCTTCCATGAAACTCACCCGCATATTCCTTCCCTGTCCATAAAGTCACACTCACTCACCCCCATTCCATACCCTGTCAGACATAATACTGCCTTTCCCTCTGAGTCAGGCAAATAAACACATGCCCTCTCTGCCCTCTCCCCAGTTCATTAATATATTCATATTTCTTCCTCTAAACCTACTTAAAAGCCATTTCAGTACATCCATGGGCTAGATCAAGTGAGATATGCCAGTTAAGATCTGGGTTCACATGTGAAATCTCCCCATGAATTAATACATCCAGATGAGCTATCATCATCACTGATACAATCATTTCAAATCCAGCTGTGCAAGCCAAGTAATGCTCACCTGTTGAACTGCCAAATGTGACTGGTGGAAGAAAAGCTACTTTGTGAGGTGGCATCTGTTGTTGCATTTAATGTTCAGAGGACTTGACTCTAACCTTCTCCTGGCTCCTGATTCAATGATCACCCACAGCATCACAGCTGAAGTGGGTGCATTGTGCAATGCATTGTTTGGCCCCCTAATGTAATATGACATGGTGATATGGTCCTCCCTCAACCTCTGCCCCGTGTTGAAGCAAATACCTAGGACTCCTGTTTACTCTTTCACTCACAGACTACCCTCCCTACCCCACCCCCAAATTCTTTCTCCCCACTGATTCCCACTAGACAGGAATGCATTTGGAAAAGGTCTTCTTACTTCTTTCCCTGTGTAGATGGCCTTGCCAGCTTCAGGAGCTTCCTGAGATCTGAGTTCAGTGAGGAGAACATTGAGTTCTGGATTGCATGTGAGGATTATAAGAGAACCAGGTCACCTGCCAAGATGGCTGAGAAGGCCAAGAAAATTTACGAGGAGTTCATCCAGATTGAGGCGCCCAAAGAGGTCAGTCTGGGAGGAGGGAGGTTTTTACATGGGATTGTCAAGGTGAGGATCTTGGACTCCTGGGGCTTCTATAGATGTGCAGCGAGGCTGCTCTGATGTGCTGTAAATCCAGCACATCAGAGCAGACTCAGTTAATCGAGTCTGCTGGGGCATGGAAATTAACATGCTCCAACAGCCTCCTGCATCACATGTATCAGCATTCCCATGCTGAAAAAAAGCAGTGAAGTGCTTTGAACTAAAGCTGGTTCGATTAGCTTTAGTTCAAAGTGCCCTGCCACCATTTTTCAGCACGGGGACGCTGATACATTTGATGCTCAGGTGCTTTTAATTTATGTGGCTTGCTAATTACAGTGTGTCCATCCTGCCCCCCCAACCTTCTCCCACACCCCAAGAACATCTATAAATACCCCTGGAGTGAGAGTTGATGGCATTAATTCAAGGGCGCCTATGCTTCACTGAATCAAAAGCCATGTTGGCTCTTGTTGTCCTACAAATGAGCAAAAACTTGGGCAGATCCCAGACACACCTGTTTTGAAAGAGGAGGGGTGGCTAGTGGAAATTGCCTCCTTCTTTCCATCATTGCCACAAACATGCACTTATGGCTATCCAAAAGGCTGCTGCCAAACTCCTCTCCTAGCTCATCTTTACTCTTTGCATCACTTGACCATTATCCCCTTCTCTACCCAACAACACAAAGTTCTTTTCTGCTGGTATCCTCTACCACTTAACTCCCGCTGAGGGAAGGAGCAGATAAAATGGGCAAGAGTGGTAGTGATAGATGAGCTCAGTGATCTGTCAGTGAGGATTCTTGAGAGATGTGCCCAGTCTCCCTCCTCCCTCCTAAACCAGTACAGCCCATAGCTGTTGAGATAGGGTGATGATAAGTTGAGTCACCACTGATGTCACAATAGACCCACTTAAGTTACCTCTGCCTGTCTGTCACCCATGTTCTCATAACAGTTAGATGAATCAGTCACTGATACCAATTCAATTTCTTCAGGCAGGCCCTGTCTACAAGATTTTGAAGAAGTTGACAGTATAGAGAATGTTAAGCGTCTGTGTTATTCCGTTATTAAGGTTGTTTGGGACAAAATAAAGACTGACCCAGAAGCAAGTTTTTTGAAGGTCCCAACTTTTTTATTAAATTCACAAAATATTTAATGGATGTATAGGTACATCCTCAGAAAATGTACTCAGTGCCAAAGAGTACGTTTTTTCGATTTGGGGAAGATGCACTGTCTTCCTCAAACAGATCAAAGAGGTGAACCCTGCAGTAGCTGCAAAATGAAATGTGGCCTGAATGGTGGAGTCATCATTAACAGGCTTCATAATGTTAAATTAACCTGGCTTTTATCACTTGACATAAGCTTTGCATGGTTGTGGGGGAATGGAATTACCCAGCCAGCCCCTAGACTCTCAAGGCCAAGCTACCATCCTGTTTAACTTTCCTGTTGTTTCCCCCATCACAGGTGAATATTGACCATTTCACCAAAGGTATAACCATGAAGAACTTGGTGGAGCCATCAATGAGCAGCTTTGATGTGGCTCAGAAGAGGATTTTTGCCCTGATGGAGAAGGACTCCCTGCCCAGATTTTTGCGGTCTGAGTTTTATCAGGAGTTAATCAAGTAACAATGTAGTCTGGCTGTGCAAGGCATCCCCTGCAAGACACTTCCTGTAAGCAGTGCTACTGCTCCTTCCCAATAACCCTGCCTTTATTCTTTAGCAGCTTTTACTTAGCAATACCAACCTAAGAAAATATTCAGGCATGTTGCTAAATTTCTCTCATGTTGTTTTGGAGTCACATTGTACCCAATGTCTCCTTTGGTTTTTTTTTCCAGTCTCTTTCTTTCTCTGCTCCTCTACCAATATCCCTATTATGAAAATACCGGATAATTTTACCCATTGTTTTTTAGACTGGAGGGTACTGAGGCTCCATCAATAGCCACCTAGGACCCTGGAAGATATACCCAATTTGCATAAAATCAATTAGATGAGCAGGGTGTTCAGAGTGACTGTGTTTAAAGATCAACCAGTGACTCTGAAACTCTTCTTATCCACTGCCTTGGTCTGAGAAACCTGAATTCAGATGAACTCAGATGAGCTTCAGGAAAATATCCACACTTCAGATACTTATCCCAGCCAAATCATATTCCCAAGCCTCCCAGACTAAGTCAGTTCTCTTATCCTCAGTTGCCTGCCAGGTGTCACTGATTTTATGCCCTTATTGTGAACAACTGAATGAATTGCACAAACAAAATGGCATGAAAGATTGTAAGAGTCTATTTAAGATGCTACGTGTCTTCTCTAGTGAAGGCATACATCACTGTAGTGATACTCCTATGAGTGCTCACACTTCGTAGTACTGGGAAAGTCTGTCTCTAAAAGGGTGTGAGGTTGAAGGCTGAATGAAAGCTTCCAAGGGGCTTCTGACACATTTGCTTGACCTGTCTGAGCAACACACTGTAATCCACTTTGTAACCATTTGGTGACATGATTGACTCTAAGAGTATTTTGTGATTGCAAAAACATGGTTAATATATGGCTAGTAACCATGACAGCACCTATGACTCACTATTGCCCATGATCAAGGCTGCCACAGGCTGTCTTCCTATAGCTTGTGAGACCCGCTGTTAGTTTGCAAGGTGGATTCCCAGCTGCGTTCCATACAACTGGTCTGGCTGGTGCTCCCTCCTTCCTCCATGCTTTCGAAGAAGTAACATTGCCCCATTAGTTGGTGAGGATCCTCTTTGTGCGTGGCTTCTGAACATATGGTCCTTAGTGGAGGTAAGGTACGATTTTCTCAGCATGCCCTGATACGCTCATGGCGAGACAGCCTGCTAGGTGTAAACATGCCAACCCAATTGACACAAGGTTCCCTTGTAAAAAGAGCCTCTGTTTGGACAGATGACTGTGAGAAACTGGTAACAAAATATGATTACATTTGTACTGCAAATGGAGGCCAAGTATAAGCTTCAAGATTGCTCTTTGCAAACTGTAGTGCAAAACTTAGCAATTCACAAGGTGAGAGCCAAGCCAATGTGAATAATAGGACCTTCAAAACACATTCTTTGCTTAAGCTTGACTGTAAAAAAAATAATTCTTATTTTGAGCTGGAGACAGCAAAATGGATAAAGCAAGACTGGTGTATTCCAAACACTGTGATTGTTCAGCAACCCTGATGTCTATCCAATCCAAATGCCTGCATTAGATTAACTGAATTTATTTTTTCTGTGGCATAGAAATGCCCACAATGCCTATGCACAGCCTTAAACAATGCTACTGAGGTGTTTAGAGGTGTGTTTGAACTCTTCATTGTGGATATCTTGGTGGTAACATCCCGTTCCATTCATTTCTCTCTGTAGTAAGCATGCCAAAGTGATATTTCTGCACAAACCAAAGGGTGAAAAAATTGATTAGAAGAGGAAGAACTTGTCAAAAAATTGCTAATTGAAACTGTTGGGGTCAGTTGCCAAGAGCTGACCATAACGGAAAGAAAGTATTGGAAAGATGAGAAATAAAACCATGTGTTCTTCAACAGACAGAAAACACTGCCTAATTTTGTACAACCCATTTCCATTTCTCCAGTCTTCACGTCCTGTCTGTAAAATATCTGCATATTCCTATTGCTGTCTGAGCTCCTGTCTGAGGGGAGGGAGGGGGAGTAGTAGGATATGCGGGACTGCTTCTGAAGGGTGCCAAACTTTTATTTCTTTTTAGAAGTCTTTGGCAGTTCCTTGCAGTCAAGGATGATTGTACATTATAGTTAACATGCAACAGCATTTTTCATTTATGCCATTGATTTAAATCTAAGCCAACTTAGTAATGACCAGAAGTCAATCACCATCTAAAGGTTGTTTGGTAGCTGACTTGAAAGAATGTCTGGGATCTCAGCCCAGGATCAAGTTGATCAGTGCTTGATGCCAGCATAACTGACAGTAATTAGTCCCATTGGTAGAAAAGCCAATGACCTTTGGCTTTTGACAGCAAACTTCAAGGGGTGGTTTCCCAAGTCTTGGTTGGCATGTGCAACATAGGGGAAGCCTGTGATGCCAGTAGTTGTAGTAAGTCTGTTCACTAGATCAGTCTCCACAGCTGACAATCCAGGGTATACATTGAAAAGATCAGCTGTTAAAGTCTCAGCAGTCTGTTCAAACTGGCCACCCAGACCGAGATTCCAAAGCTAGACAGCCAAATCGTGATGGACTGTGTGTCAAAGCAGCCAAATAAACAATGAGTCTGCAAACCTTTTCAAAATGTGTCTAAACTGATCAAAAACCCAGCCACCCCAAATATTTGCCTGCTGTTTCCATGGTGACAGAATAAAAATACATGTGCAACAGTAAGAAGTGGACTGTTCTTTCCAGAAAAACAAAAAACAATAACAACAAAAAACAGAACGTACTGGGTTCATCCATTTATTTTTCTTTCCCTTAGCAAATTGCCTGGGAAAGTTGGAGTCTTAATAGAGGGGACACTAGCGTGCTTATTATTTTTCCCGTGTGAGAAAATAACCCCTTCTGTGAGTCAACCTGGGATGTGGCACAATGACAATACCAAACAATAGCAGGGGACTCAAGCAAATTCTTCCTGCCCCTTCTTGAGAAATGGAAAGTTTAGCCGAGAAAATACCTAGCTTTTTGCTGGCTGGATTTGATGGGAAATGGGCCAAGGATAGAACTGAGTAAGACCAAGAGAGAAGAAACTTGTTCAGCAGTTAGACTATAGGATAAACATGCAGCCAGTGGGCCAGTTTCATCTAAATCTAGTGTCATAAGTAGTGCTAGATAAGCCATAACAGAAGCGCTCATGGCATGGCCCTGTCAGATTCCAATGAATCTGCGACTTCTGCTAAATACTTTGTCATGAAGAGATGAAAAAGGAAGTGGTGTTAGATCAATTTAGTGTAGATTTCATAGATTTCTTTGCCTAGGTCAAATACAATTTCTATGTGCCCAAAATAAATATATCTTTGATAGCATGAGGACAGTAAAGGGATGTGTTGTGTGACCTAATGTTGGAATGTAGTTGATAGCCTACACATCGCTGAATTTCATCACAACCTGCTCAAATCATACCATGATTTGTGATCTCACAACCTGCAGTGGTATAAGGGTAGTCAGTATTCAGGTTGGTTTTGAATCTGTCTTGACATCTGGTCTATTAGAAAACTCTCTGATTCTATTCCTGGGCTTCCATTTCTCTTCAGATACATATTTTAAAGTGAGTCCTGATTTAACTATATCATTTGACCTAAGAAGCACTGGGGATCTCTTTAAGAGTTGTGTTTGTGTAGAATTTTCACTTGATTAATTACTCTGGCATGCAAACCACCAGAAACCTGATCATGAACTCCTCGGATGAGTGAGCTAAGAATCCTGAAACATGAGAAACATCTGCTATGGGACTAATACTTTGTGTCATGTTTCTGATAACAAATATTTCATATACTCATACATTATTAAATGTTATATGTAGTTTAACCATAGACACATTATATATTCCTGTATTCCTATATACATATTTTATACCTATATTTACAGTATCAGTTTCACTGTAGTGGATAGTGAGTGAATCAGAACATATCATTTGAACTCTTAACAACCTGATTGTTCATTTTTGACAGTTGCCCATTGTCTATCATGGGCATGGGCAATGAATAGATGTAGGGTGACTTTAGGTATTTGGTTGAGCTAAAAATACACCTTTCCCAAGCATAATAATGAAAGTGTATCTCTATGAACATCACAAAAAGCATTCTCCTTCCTTTTTTCCCCTCAATATCTGTTCCTTTACACTGTGTTATTACATGACATTTTTTTTATAGGCACCATGTCTGTTAGTGTTAGAAAAGATAATAATAACGGTGTGTTACATTAAGGATTGTGCAGTGGCCAGTTACATCTCCCTGAAATGTCATGGGTTGTGTACACTGGTTTCATTTGAGGCCAGTGGTTCCAGATTACTGACAATAGAATTACTAAAGTTCAACAGTCGTTTCACTGGGGGGGGGGTCACGCTCTCATTCCTATTGTTTTCCATCCCCTCTTTGTGGTTTTTTGTTGTGTCCATTTGGTCCAGGGACATGCACTCTTGCACCCCTTGAATACTACATTGTGTTACGTCCTGTGACTGATTCCATCATGGCAGTGCTAGTAACTATCCTGGGCTGGCTTTGAAAATACCACCATGTATCTTGGAGACTAATGAAGACCATAAAAGAATCATTAGCACTTCCTTCCATGCACTAAAGAACTTAAACCTGATACCTTTGAGCGAAACTCTTCTCCAAGATCCAAAAAACTGTTTTTGTCCTTGACACATTTTGTCCTTAAACTTAACTGTTAAAGGCTTGGCTCTGTAGGGAATTGATTAGTTCCCAGACTTGGCCTGCTACTTTTAAGCTTCAGTTCTCCCATGTGCTTACCAAGAGAAGTATTTTGATTGCAGGGCAGGTGTAACCTGGGCCACTGTGCATTAAAGAGCAAGTCCAGGTTTTGTTCTGTTAGCAACGTGCATGTAACATTCAATATAACCAGTACATAAATGTATTACCACTGATATGTTAATGGACTATTTATTTACCTGTTCTCTTTATGACTGAGGTCTGGTGTCCTTCTTAGTTTCAACAGTGCATTTCCTGAGACTTGAAAAAGGTAAATGAATAAGAGTATGGTAAGAAAGGAGAATGTCAACAAGGTGATAAGGGTCACCTCTTGCTTCAGGGCCTCAACTAGTCACCAGCCAAGGTCAGGAAGGAATATTTTCCCTCTTCCCTGTTGGCTGAATGAGTCTTGGGGATCCTTGCTTTTCTCTTCAGTATCAGATATTGGCCAGAGCTGGAGACAGGGTCTTGGACCAAATTTACCAATGGTCTTTGAATCTTAGTCACAAGGTTCTTGCCGCATCTGATACTAAGAAGGGATCTTCTTCTGGGTCAGAAGATTCTCCTGCTGCTACAGCAATGAGCAGGATCACTCACTGGATCTTCTGCTTGGGTCTCAGCTGACAGTACTTTGCCATTTCATGAATGGGCCTAGAAAGGGCCAGAGAACCTTTCCCTAAATGAAGGTCTTGACTGTTGGGCAAATTTGATAAACAAATGGAGCTGGTGCACACCAACCCCACGGGGACAACGAAGGCTGTTCAACTCTGAAAGCAGGTCTTTGGGCCCACTGCAAAAGACAAATCTGTTCAAGAGCTGCCAAGGTGACTAAAAAGTACCCATCCACAAGAACCACAGATGCTAAAAGGAATGGAGGTAGGAGAACATGAGGTCAGGAACATATCTCCTGAGCCACAGCTCAGCACCTAGGAAGTGGGTGATAAATGGCACGTGTAAATGTTTAGATCATTGGGTGCACATAACTTTCACCCAAGACTTCTTAAAGAGCTAGCCTGGGATGTCTGGACCATTTAGGTTAATTTTTGGAGCTGGATCTTAGAAAACTGGGGATATTCTAGGGATCCAGAAGAAAGCTAACGTTTAAAAATACAACATAGGTAAGTACTGAGTTATTAGAGGGACTTCAATCCCAGGCAAAACAGTGGAACATCTAATAATAGAGGCACTCAAAAGAACTAAAAGACAGAATTAAATACTAGCTAAATAATATTTTTCAAAATGAAATTATTCCTAAGGAATCCTCATTGTCAAGAGGTGCTGCAAGAAGGATCAGATTTTAGTTTAATACCATTTGATATTTTTTATGAATAATGGAGAATCAAATGTAAAATCCTCACTTATCCATTTGGCCAGTGACACAAGCACTGAGGAACTGATCAGTACAGATGGGGAAGGGGTCACTGATACAGAGTGCTCTGCAATGCTTGTTGAAGTGAGTTCAATCCATGCACATTTTATGTAGATGCAAGAAGAAAAAACCTTTCCTTACACACACACACACACACACACACCCCCCTTTATTTCCACCTTCCTCTCCAATGAACCGTCCTCTAACCTCATCTGTGGCAGGAGTCAGAGCATCAGGCAGGGTAAGTTTCTCCAGCTAGTCCTGCTTACCTGCATGAGCCTGGATGCCAATAGCCCCACTACTTCCAGCTAGCCCCAGTTGCTTCCATGGATGTGGCTGCCTGCTTATAAGCAACAGATCTCTCAGTGCCCAACAGAGCAAAGGCTTTGATCTAACTGGGGCTTTTGGATCTTTATATCTTGCTTCCTGTTCACTAGGTTGTGTTTGTTAGCTTCCAGGCTTCATCCTTGTACCTTGTTGTTTCCCACTGGTTTCTGGTTCCTGCCTTCTGACCCCTTTGCTCCTGACTACAGTCCAGATCTCTGTCTTCTAATAACCAGCTGCTGACTCACAGGTTTAGTTTGGTGATCACCCATATCCTAGCCCCATGGAGCTACAGTTGCCTGCTCTGGGCCTCCTGGCTAGTGGCTCCAGTCTGGATCCGTTCTTCCTGTTTCTGACTTCTCTGGCTTATAGCTCTACCCAGGACCTGTGTTTCTGTCCCTGAGAGACTTTGGCTTCCTGACCTGTCTGCTACCGATCCACTGACTTTTGACTATAATCTGGACCTTTTTTGCTCCTGATCACCTGGACAGTGACCCCGTAGGAGGAAGCCCTGACCACCTATGCCCTGGCTGTACTCCTCACGCTTTGGATCCTGCTGGGCTCACCTGCTGCATGCTAGAATCGGTAGAAGCCACACAATGATGTGGTAAGGCAGACAATACTAAATTATGGGGAAAAATGGTCATGCTAGGGGATGGGATATGGATCCAAGCAGATCTGGACAGGCTGGAAAGGTGGGTGGACAGACCTGGATGAAGTTCAATAAGGATAAATGCCAAATGCTTCATCTGAGGAGAAGTAACCAGTGACATGAATATAGGTTAGGAGGAGATGTCCTGGCTAGCACAATGACTGAAAGTGACCTCAGGATTATGGCTGATCACAGGATGAACATGAGCCGCCAGTGTGATGCTATAGTCAACAGAGTTAATAGCGTACTGGGATGCATTGGCCGATGCATTGTGAGCAGGGCTAAGGAAGTGATACTTCCACTCTGTCGGTGCTGGTGAGACCCCAGCTGGAGTACTGTGTCTAGCTCTGGCCACTGCACTTCAAAAAAGATGTGGAGGATCTTGAAAGAGTTCAGAGAAGGGCCACAAGAATAATTAAGGGCCTGGAGGACAAAGTTTACCAGAAAAGACTAAGGGATCTAGGACTGTTCAGCCCGGGGAAGAGAAGACTGAGAGGGGACTTCATGGCTGCCTATAAGTATGTAAGGGGTGAATTTCAGGAGCCAGGAGAAAAACTGTTCACTAGAGTGCCCCAGGGGTGGAAAAGGAGCAATGGCCATAAACTGTTAAAGGATGTCTTCAGGTTGAATATAAGGAAGAACTGCTTTACAGTAAGGGTGACCAGAATCTGAAATAGACTTTCCAAGAAGCTGGTGCAGCTCCCAACCTCAGAAGTCTTCAAGAGAAGACTGGACAGACACCTTGGCCACCTTGGGTCATTTGATCTCAGCAATATATCTGTCCAGAACCGGGTGGTTGGATTCAGTGATCTTTTGAGGTTCCTTCCAGCCCTTAAATGCTATGATTCTATGAAGACACAGAATTCCTCCTAGCCCTGTAGGACTCTCTATTCTGAGTTCTTGATGGTGCATTCAGATAAGTGTGTGATGTAACAGTTGAGAGTACTGTATTTAATGGTCACCATGTGTCTCCTTTGGCTCATCCAGGCTCCCCTCTGATAGCACTGATGGGTGCCAAGACTGTCAGCACCTGCTTTGCTTTCCTACAAAGACAGGGAAAAATGCATGCTCTCTGCAGCTGCTTAAGGACCAGAGTCTGATCTCTGAACTCCTATCAGTCCTATGCTGCCCCAGTGATGTCAGCGGAGCCAACAGTGGGAAAGAGAGCTACCCAATATGGTTAAAATGACCATATGTCCCATTTTAGCTGGGACAGTCCTAGGTTTCAGAGGCTGGTCCCAGCCAGTTTTTGGAAATTATAATGGGCGTCCCAGAAACGCAGGGGCACAGGGGTCTGGCCAGGAGTTGGAGCAGTGCAAAGCGCCTAGTAGGCGGGCAGCCCGGCACACAGCCCCACCCCTGCCGACTTATGAGAGCACAGGGGGTGGGCAGTGTCCTGGATTTCCCAGATGATGTCCTGGCTTTCTTGAATTTCCATATGGTCAGCCAAAATAGGATTCAAGATATTTGGATCCTGGCCCAGAGAAGTGTGTCAGAAGCCAGTCATACTCAATCACCCCTGCAGGGGCTGCTACAGCATGGCATTCACAGCACTAAAACAGTCTCAATCCAATCCCAGCTCAGGTATTATTGTGGTCTAGCCCCCCTCGCAGATCTTCCAACACATCTGCCACAGATCTCTGGCAGTTGTATCCTTCACTCAGCTGTGAGCCAGCTGAAAGCACTCCAGGCCACTCAGCCGAGTAGTAAAATATGAGCACATGTGCTAGGACAGCAGTAAGGCACATGTCAAGTGAACAGCAGACTTATTCCAGCTGTTGCTCTCTCTGCATGACAAATTGATCTGGATGTGAAAGAACAGTCTAGGACTAAACTAGAGCAGTAGGGGTCAATCCTTTTGGCAGGCATACCACAAATTAGCCCTGCACCCTTCCTGAGTGCCACTCTGATCTCCTTCCCGTGCCCAATCTGCTACTCATGTTTTCTGCTTCCTGTGGTATATGCTGCTGTGCTACCTGATCCCTCCCCCAGATGGCTGCATGTCACACACACAGGCTGCCTCTGCCACCTGTGACACATGTGCTGCAGGTTACCCACCCATGATCTAGAGGCTTTAAGAGCCTCCACGTAGAATGCATTAGCCCTTCCACCCTTCTCCAGCTCCTGCCTGCAGCACCACCGCCTGACCACCTATTGTAATGGGAGGAGGGGTGAGGTGTGGCCTACCTGCTTTCAGCTAGATGAGATCTGAAATGTTCCACTACATGAGACAGGTCCCATTCTGCAGTGGATCTGCCAAGTTCCCTATAGCTGCTGTGAGGAGTAATCATGAAACTTCATCTGAGCTGGCCACAGATGGTTCTGATATAAAAACTTTGCAAGCAGAGTCATCAACCCCCTCCCTACAGAGGGTCAGGATCCTGAAAGGGAGACCTCCTTTCTGTGAGCTCTGAACAAAACATCTTGGCATATGGTGGAGCCACAGCAAATAGTGAACAGTTCCTGAAAGGGATTCTAGTTTTGTTAGGGTGAGATAAGCAGCTTGTTGCAGCTATGCCTTCCATGCTAGAAGTAAAGTTATTAGAGCTCTGCAAAGAGTTTGCAACTATACATGCAGCCAAGTGAAATGCACCTGGTTTAGCTTCCCACCTTAAGCTGGACACTCAGAGAAGGTTTTTGGGAAAGTTCCAGGAAGGGTCCCAGACCTTTATACAAATCACCATTTCTGTGGAGCGGGGCAGGACAAAGGATAGGGGTCCTCCAGCTGAAATGATAAAATTAGCAGTTTCCCAGGGTTGCAACAAGTAAGGAGATGAACTCCCTCCCCCTACTGTCAATTTCCAGAGAACTGCTTCTATATGACACTCTGC